TGCACATTTTTTATAGTAACAACATGAGTTTCTATCACATAAAATGTTAATACCATTTTCATGGTCACGTTCGAATCTTTTTTGTGAAATTCTATACCATGTAACCTTTGGACATGGAGAACATGGGGCCGTTTTATTGCACTTTATCTGGGTATTTAAGTCCGTAGGATTGAAATCACAGAAACTAATAAGCAATCAATAATCAATTGTTATTCCAACCCTTTTGCCGTTCCACCCCAGTTACCTCTCATGAGAATTTGCTCCCAGGTTTACCGCACTTTCAATGGGCTTGGATAAATTCTGTCTGCAGAATTTTTAGCAGAATAAGCGGAATTAATATTATAGCAGAATTATCAAAACCTATATATCGAGCGACCGTCCACTCAGCATCCCCAACCCACTTTGTGGTTTATGGTGTAAATGTTTCGCTTGTTTTCACATGACTGGCATGGATACCAGTCGAAGTGCGCTCTTTTTATAAGAAGCATTACCAGAATTGTATGACATTTTAATGAAGTTTTAAGCAGACTGAGAACTTTCTAGTGAACGCCGGTACTGCCAAAATAATTAAGAACAAACTGATCAAATCCATCGACTTCAGTGGTCACTACACTGGCTAAACAAACTCACTTGTAGCCTGGGGAAAAATTAAATTGAAAAAAGTATTTTCTCTGAAATGTGATACGCAAGGACGATCTTTTGAGGGCTCAGTCGTGATCGCTTTTTGAAACTCAGCGATCATAGTTTTATGGAAAACTGTGATCAGTGATTAAAATCTCCTTCCCATTGGCCAATTGAATTGCATATGAACCGAGGCTGTTATCAAGTACGTATACATGTACAAACAATCGGAAGTAAACTAAGTTAATAGGCAATTTAGGCACGACGTTCTACGGCAAACGGCAAACTCTCGCCGTTGATTTTGTCAACTTTTCCTAAGTCATTAAAATAGATACAGTAGAACCCCGCTAACTTGGGTTCTACTTTACATCAGAAAAAATGTCAACAATTTCACACAAAATTATCTATAGAAACTACTCCCTTTTACGTACAAGTCTCTCTCAGATGTACCGACTTTCCTCCGAACGCGAGCGAACATCATGGGAAGAAGATAACTGAACTAGGAGTGCAATCGATACTGTAACTTGCATCTTGACTTGCTCTGAGCTCATCATCAGCCGACCAACAGCCTCAGAATGAACCGATAGATTTCAATTGTGAGTATTTATTACCTTTAGTGATATTGTTTAACAAACTTGACTCACAATGCTTTATTGTCTAAAAAATAGGAGCATATGTTTCTGCTAAAAAAAAAAACCGACCGAACTGGCCGTGCGCATCCTTCCGGTAACTGAATGAAACTAGTGAATACAGTTTTGACCTGGTCTTATTAAGCCTGGTTTTCACTAGCGACGCAAGCACAAGCGCAAGCAACATACGCAGACGCAGTAACGCGTTGATCATCAGTGCCTTTTGTTTACGACAAATCAACGCGTTACTGCGTCTGCGTACGTTGCTTGCGCTTGTGCTTGCGTCACTAGTGAAAACCAGGCTTTAGGGAGCATAAAATGCATAAAATAACCCTTTACAACTATATTTGTGGTTTTAAAAACTATAATGATGATTGAAAACAATAAGAGACACCATACTGACAGTCGCTACTGTTAAGTTCTTAAAAGCACGAAGCATCTCATTTGATTATGTAGAAATTTGGCTGGGTGGAAGTGAAAATTGAGCGATACTAAGAGATTATAATTATTCTGGCTGAAAGTGCACATCTTTAGCTATCTTTGGCCCGTGAATGATCCGGTTGAGTGAGCGTACGCATGATCTGAAGTCATATCTATTCTTTATACTCTGGTAAAGACATAGCTTTTTCTGTGAGAAACATACGCGCGAGAATCTCAGCTATTTTATAATTAACAAATAAAGAAGCCAAAACCATGTATTATTTACCTAATAGAAGATGGTTTTCTATGTTCTATAAGAAAATGATGCACGCTTGAGGTCTAGAAAAGCAGCTAGTGAATGCACGAACCGCTTCTTCGGTTTCTATTTTAGAAAATAGCAGGAACTTGAAAGAAAAAAACTTCGCCGTACGCTTGAGTGGCGCGGTAGAACACAAATTAAAACTTACAAAGTCGCGAAGTAGCGTGAATTAAGAACTAATCTATAATCCTAGTTGTACGATATTTTAACATTTCTTGAATGAGTAAATACTTGTTTCAACGAAAATTTCCATTTTATAGCTTCTCCTGAATTTTTTAGAAAGTTTCTTAGAGTTTGACAAATCTATTTTCAACTTTGCCGGTCGTAATTTTGTCGGCTTCTTCCAAGATTTCTTCAGATTATTCCAGACATTTGGCGTTCAAAAACAAAACAATTCGCTGCTATTTCGCTTTTATGTAAAACGAGAGACACTGTCAGGTAATAGTGCCCGTCGGGCAAAAAACCCGGATCGATAGTGCCCGCCTGAGCGAAAAGCAACCGTTTTGTGCAGTTTTGAGCTAAACAGTTGAAAGAATAAATTAAACAATAACGAGAATTTACTCTCTATCAATTCTTTCATAACATATGGACATGCACGAAGTTTGGAACGAAATATTTAATGGCAAATTCCTGTAAATGTATACAACAAATGCGAATGAAAGAGCACTAAACAATTTACGGAAAGATCGGTAAACCGACACAAATTCGTCCAAAAAATGACAGCCTGTTTACGGCACCACAAGTTTAAGCTTAGCCTATTCAGTATTGTTACCTTGTATTTCCAACAGGCTTGTCATGAATCAGCACAATAAATATCGGTTAAATACGGCAGTTCGTCAAGCGTTTGCCCGCAGTGAAACCTTCGACTCCGTTCAGTTGTCCGTTTGACTTGTAAACTGATGAATATAATGTTCAGCTCTACAATTATTTCAGATCTTCCCATTTTGTGCTAAATCATTTGCACAATTTTTCAGAATATATGAAACTTTATAAGAGATTGAGCGAAGAAATAATCCGAAGAAAACTTTTTGGTCCTGCTTTCTTTTCATTCAACTTGGCGGAAGCCGCGCCAGGTTTGGCCGCCGTTTTTCATACAAATGATGCTTCATTTAGATGGAACTGAAAAATCACTCAGTCGATTTATAACTTTTGAAAAAGTAATACCGAAGTTTAACCTAAAGTTTTGTACGTATTTACGGGACAAAAGCTGAAATGCAAAACTATTTTTGAAGCTCCAAGCGTCGCAGTGTGTAATTAGAAATCGAAATAAATAAATTCACGTCGTTTTCAGTTTTTAGGCCGCCGCGCGGAAAATTTAGTGGTGAACAATAACGACAATAGAGTGTTTTTGTCTCGGAACTATCGGTCTGATAGTTGCCCTTGGAAATTTTATGTTCTAAAAAACTAGCATATAAGCCCTCGAACTTCGTTCTCGGGCTAATATTTGTTTTTTAGAACATAAAATTTCCGCGGGCAACTATCAGCCGACAGTTCCTCGACAGAAACACTCTATTATAACAATAGAGTGTTTCTGTCGAGGAACTATCGGCTGATAGTTGCCCGCGGAAATTTTATGTTCTAAAAAACAAGTATTAGCCCGAGAACGAAGTTCGAGAGCTAATATGCTAGTTTTTTAGAACATAAAATTTCCAAGGGCAACTATCAGACCGATAGTTCCGAGACAAAAACACTCTATTGTCGTTATTGTTCACCACTAAATTTTCCGTGCGGCGGCCTAAAACTGAAAACCTCATGAATTTATTTATTTCGATTTCTAACACACTGCGACGCTTGGAGCTTCAAAAATAGTTTTGTATTTCAACTTTTGTCTCGTAAATACGTACAAAACTTTAGGTTAACACTTCGGTATTACTTTTTCAAAAGTTATAAATCGACTGAGTGATTTTTCAGTTCCATCTAAATGAAGTATGATTTGTATGAAAAACGGCGGCAAAACCTGGCGCGGGTTCCGCCAAGTCAGTTGAATGAAAAGAAAGCAGGACAAAAAGTTTTCTTCGGATTATTTAATTTCTTCGCTCAATCTCTTCTAAAGTTTCATATATTCTGGAAAATTGTGCAAATGATTTAGCACAAAATGGGAAGATCTGAAATAATTGTGGAGCTGAACATTATATTCATTTTACAAGTCAAACGGACAACCGTCGAACGGAGTCGAAGGTTTCACTGCGGGCAAACGCTTGACGAACTGCCGTATTTAAGCTTCGTAACCGATATTTATTGTGCTGATTCAAGCTGGAATTGACAAGCCTCTTGGAAATACAAGGTAACAATACTGAATAGGCTAAGCTTAAACTTGTGGTATAAACAGGCTGTCATTTTTTGGACGAATTTGTGTCGGTTTACCGATCTTTCCGTAAATTGTTTAGTGTTCTTTCATTCGCATTTTTTGTACATTTACAGGAATTTTCCATTAAATATTTCGTTCCAAACTTCGTCCATGCCCATGTTATGAAAGAATTGATAGAGAGTAAATTCTCGCTATTTTTTTAATTTATTCTTTCAACTGTTTAGCTCAAAACTGCACAAAACGGTTGTTTTTCGCTCAGGCGGGCACTATCGATCCGGGGTTTTTGGCCGACGGGCACTATCACCTGACAGTGTCTCTCCGCGGATGAACACTATCACGTCACGTGTTCGATTTAAGCCAATCAGAATCAAAGAAAATTTAGTGGTGAACTATAATGTTATAATAGTGTACGAGTAGCTCAGCCAATCAGATTGTCTCATTTGCATTAGTACACTAGTAGATTTTTACTAAAAGAAAATAATGCACGGCTAGACTCTATGCCGTTTATATGACAGCTATTTTCTAAACTCTGATAAAACATGTTTTTTTTACCAATCAGAGCGCGCGATGTTTTCAGTTTATATTTTAATTCCTTTTAACACGATTTTTCTGCCAAATCGCGAAATTTAAGTCTCGCGAAATTTGCCTCTTCCATTTTCGCGAAATTAAGTTCCCGCGAAAATATGTAACACCCACAACACGATGACGCTGGCGAGCGCTCGAACCTAGACCGCTCAATACGGAGTCCAACGCGCTAACCATTAGGCCATCGCGTCTCCCACTGTTCTGCTGTAACCGCCGGTTAATCCATAGCCTCTTACATTGAATAATGTAGTACTAGTCATGAACTAGTCATGTAAAAGGCGGATCGTTTCTTACCATCTGGTCCGTTTCCACAGTAACGCCGACGCGGTGACGATTTGCTGAGCCTGTACACGAAGAATCCACCACAGTTACGAACCAGGATGGTAGAGGACGAATCACAGCAGCCATTAGACCCATGGAAACACACTGTGCCTGCAATAGCTCCTTCCTGTTGGGTAGGGTGGCGGGTGTGAAGCCAGCCAGGTGCTTCGGTTCCACATGTATACATGGGCGGACATGTGGTAGCCATCATAGGGCCTGCTGCACGAATAAATCGGTACCATCCAAACTGCAGGTTGCTGTCAGATTTAACATTTTTCAATTCAAGCAAGGTAGTTGTATGAGTTTTGGACCTGTCTGGGCCTCCCACAACAAAGTAGTTTAAACATTCTAGAAATGAAATATAAATAAATTAATTAAACATAAATAAAAATATCAAGAAGATTGTCAGCTTTCAGTATCCATTTGGTGATATGATCAACACTGAACTAAAATCGGCTACCGTAAAAGCTATATTTAGCCATCTCCCCCTCCCCCCCTCTTTGGAAGTCATATCTTGTAATAACCCCACCCCACCTCTCTATTAAGCCCCCATCCTTCCGTCAGGCTGATGTAAATGAATTTTCAGCAATATTTTCTGGCGTTTCAGTAACTTTTATTTTTAGAACTATTGTTGAGTTATGGTATAATGACATTGTATTTGTAAGATTTGTAAGATGGTCATACATAACCCATTTTTCTAGTTCTGTTTTAGTCAGTGGTGCAGTATTAAAGTGGGAGTTAATTTGGAGCAACTGACAAAATCTTGAATAAGGTCTATTTGGAATAATTGCCGATTTCTGACTTCATGAGAAAATACATGCAGTGAAATCCAAGATGGCGGATACAACTTGGCGGATTTGATGACATAATTTGACGTCAAGTCAAATTATTTACACCGTCCACAGGATAATTAATATTAAATATTATATGACTCAAGTCGTAGGACGTCATAAACAACAGATAGCAATATTCTTTACAAGCCAAATGATATCTATTAAAGGCAGAATGCTTTCAAGGTGGCTTATAACCAAAAATATAAACAGAGGGGCCGTTTTATTGCACTTTATCTGGGTATATTTAAATACTTAAAAGTCCGTGGTATTGAAATCACAGAAACTAATAAGCAATCAATAATCAATTGTTATTCCACCACTTTTGATGTTCCACCCCAGTTATTTTTCATGAGAATTTGCCCACAGATTTACCGCAAATTCAAAAGCGGTCGAGTGATAGGCTTGGATTCTGCCTGCAGAATTTTTAGCAGAATAAGCGGATTTTACGAGCATTGCCGGCGGGAAGAATAATCCATTTTACAAGCATAATTTATCCAAGCCTATCGAGCGACCGTCCACTAAGTGTCCCCAACCAACTTTGTGGTTTCTGATGTAAATGTTTCGCTTGTTTTCACATGACTGGCATGGATACTGGTCGAAGTGCGCTCTTTTTATAATAACTGAGCAACCAGAATTGTATGAAGTTTAAGGCGGCAGACTATCCATCGACTTCAGTGGTCACTACACTGGCTAAACAAACTCACTTGTAGCCTGGGGAAAAATTAAATTGAAAAAAGTATTTTATCTGAAAAGTGATACGCAAGGTGTCTTTTGAGGGCCCAGTCGTGATCGCTTTTTCAAACTCAGCGATCATAGTTTTATGGAAAAACTGTGACCAGCGATTAAAATCTCCTTCCCACTGGCCAATTGAATTGCATATATCAACCGAGGCTGTTATCAAGACAGTATGTACGTATTCAAACAATCGGAAATAAACCCCGGGGGGTACTCCCTTATATAAGCTATATAGATAGATAGATAGATACCTTTATTTAACCAGGGTTTCTCTTTCAGTATTATTTACAAAGTAAAAAAACTGATATCACTAGAGGCCCTTAACTATGGGGCGCCAAATGTGACACTTCCGTCATCAATGTACCCAGATCGTTCTGAAGCTGAGCATCAATACAACGCTGGTAGAGAATATTCAGCACTAACATACTGTCTTCCAGACGCCGCTGGATGAATTCTATAACATTAATGTTATTGCAAAACATTTGGCGACGAGCTTCTGAAATCTGGCTCGGTATATTGTGTCAGCGTCCGCCATGATGATAGCTAAAAATTACCAGGCATCCCCTACTTCTTTCGTACCCAGTCTTCTTGCGTAATGTATATCACGGACAGAATTGTGATCTATATAATCACGACGGACAAAAAAAATATATTTTGCTTGTGAAACGTAAGCTTATATATATCACAAGTTGTGATATATATATTAAGCAAAGTAATGTATTTATCACGAGTTGTGATATATATTTCAAGGAACGATTTATCACAAGGGTAATGATCCTTTTTGTCACATTTGGCGCCCCATATCTAAGGCCCAGTTCAGATGCCGTACTTCATATGAGCCGAATCGAATTCGAATTTAGGCCGACTCAACTTAATTTAGACCGACGGAATTGATTCAGACGCCGAGCTTAATTCAGCCGAACTTAATTTAATAGGGAAAAATTGCTGTTATATTGAAAAATACATTATAATAATTCATGCATTTGTTTCGGCCCATGTGAAGTTCGGCGTCTGAATCAAAGCCGGTGCACAGCCGTTATTCCCGGCTGAGCCAGGCGGGAAGAACGGCTTAGCCGATCCGAATTCAATCAGCCATTCCGAATTGATTCAGACGCCGTACCTCACATGAACATAATTCATCCAATTCGATTCGGCTCATGTGAAGTACGGCGTCTGAACTGGGCCTAACATTGAATAATGCAGTACTAGTCATGTACCAGTCATGTTTCTAAAGTGGCCATTTTATATATGCAGCGCGAGATTTGAATGTATTCACTTTGAGAACAGCTGTGTAAAGCGAGAGCAAACCCTTGAATGCGGTTTGAATAACAAACATAAATGTCTTCGAAACAGTGTTGTTGGGCCATTTGGTGACCCGATAAACTAAGCTAAGGTTTTTCTCTGCTCTCTGTTGTAATTCCGAATCATAAGCGACACCCAGTGTCCTGACCACTCACCCCAGCGTGTCACATCGCGTCATGCCAAATGTAACTCTAACCCTCTCCCTCAGGGAAAATTGCTCTTTACTTCGCTTTTGGCGAAGATTCAATTGAATTAGCAAGGTATTGTTTTCGCCGCTTACGGTGATTAACAAAAATGACCCAATATGGCCATTTCGATAACGTATAACAATACCTATTGTTTTCGAAATTGATCCGCATTTCTTGATATACGAAGGCGGATCGTTCCTTACCATGTGGTCCGTTTCCACAGTAACGCCGACACTGTGACGGTTGTGGCGGTTCGCTGAGCCTGTACACATAGAATCTACCACAGTTACGAACCAAGATGTTAGCAAACATCTGACAGCAGCTATAGGAACCATGGAAACACACTTTGCCTTCAATAGCTCCTTCCCATGAGTTAGGGTGGCGGGTTTGAAGCCAGCCTGTTACTTCGGTTCCACATCTGTTCATGGGCTGACAAGTAGAAGGCATCATAGTGCCTGCTGCACCATTAAATCGGTACCATCCATTCAGGTTACTGTCACATTTGTTCGAGGGATCTGAATAAGACATGGATCTGTCTGCCTCTTCCAGAAACCTGTAGTTTGAACATGCTAGAAATGGAATGTAAATTAATAAATTAAACATAAATAAAATATCAAGAAGATTGTCAGCTTTCAGTATCCATTTGGTGATATGATCAACACTGAACTAAAATCGGCTGCCATGAAAGCCCCCCCCCCCCCCCCTTGGAAGTCATATTTTGTAATAACCCCATCCCCTCCTCTCTATTACCCTATTCTGCCTATGGAGGGGGGTGGGGGGGTGGGGGGGTGCTGAAAGTGCCCGCGCTGACTTCAAATTTATCGTACTTTTAAAAAGAGCACTCAAGCAATCATAGCCAAACCTTATGACTTTTCCTAAACATTATCTGGGAACATTTTGGTGTGTCAATTTTTTGGTCACGTGACTTTATGTTTCCATAGCAACCAAGTTTTGACAGGCCGTTTTAGCCAAATTTGGTATTTTCAGTTTAAATTTCCTGATGAGATTTTCGCTTTTTACGAAGAGTTTCTTCCAAAACCTTTGCAATTTTTGCATCCTTATATTGTTTTCGATTTTTTCAAATCAAATTTGGTGATTTTCTGACATTTCTGAAACAATTTAAAAATCTAAGATGGCGGATTCAAGTATGACGTTATTTTGGCGTGATATGATATCATAATTGATTAATGTTTGTCACTAAAATAAACATGTTTTGAATGCTTTATACACCACATAATTTTAATTTTTATAGCACAAATACTTTTCGAGATACAGATCGTTTTACCCATATTTGTTTTTTTTTGTTAAGCTTAATTTTCAGTTTTCATAAAATGTTTGCTTTTTACGATGAAATCCTTGCAAAATCTTGCCGTTTTAGCATCTTTATATTTTTCTTGATTTTTTCAAAACAATTTGGAGATTTTCTGACATTTCTGAACAATTTAGAAATCCAAGATTTAGGATCCAAGATGGCGGATTTTTTAATGTATGACGTCATTATGGCGTGTATTACGTCATAATTGACACGTGACTGCCACTAAAATAAAGATTGTTGGATGCTTTACAGTTTTTAAGTTTTATTTTCATAGCGTCAATACTTTTCGAGATACATATGGGGGGGGGGGGGGGGGGGGGCACTATCTGCCTCCCCCCAGGCTCAGAACGAAAAAAAAAGCCCAGGCAGAATAGGGTTAAGCCCCCCATCCTTTCTGTCAGGCTGATGTAAATGACTTGTGACCCTCCCCCAAATCGGAGCCCAACAAATTGTCACCTTCCCCAAATCGGAGTTCAAACAATTGTGACCCTCCCCTT